TTTAATAAACGTACAGTATTGGTGTATGTTTAATAGAAAAAGATGTTTGATGTATTATCTAGTAAATTTAGTTGAAATACAAATCACTTTTTAAATATGTTACGTCTGCATTGTTTATGAAATTTTAAATTCACGCTATGTTTGGTAATATATTGGCCGAGTTAAAACGTGCTGCTATTGTTCTGACATAATGAAATCGAATTTATGAGGTATCTGCTTTTCTCTGAATGTGTCGTAGTGCTGCCTTTATTGGCGGTTTTTGAGAAATCGCTATTTCAAAAAGATATTTTTTTTAAAATCCGAAAAAAATCCACAAGAGGGCGTCAAATCATTTTTTGTTATTTTAAGATTCGCCCACTTATTCCAAGTTTAATGAACGTACAGTTTTGATGTATCACCAAGAGAGAAAAGTATTTGATGAATTATCCAGTAAATTTAGTTGAAATACCAAACCGTTTTTAAATATGTTACATCTACATAGTTAATAAAATTGAAAATTATATGCTATGTTTGTTATCATATATGGCCAAGTTAAAACGTGCTGCTACTGTTCTGACATATTAAAATCGAATCTATAAGGAATCTGCTTTTCTCCGAATGTGTCGTAGTGCTGCCTTTATTGGCGGTTATTGAGAAATCGCCCTTTCAAAAACAATTTTTTTTTTGAAATTCCGAAAAAAATCAACAAGAGGGCGTAAAATGATTTTTTGTTATTTCATACTTTCCGCAACTCATTCCAAGTTTAATGGACGTAAAATATATATGTATGTCCAAAAGAAAAAGATGTTTGATAAATTATCTAGTAAATTAGTTGAAATACCAAACGGTTTTTAAATATGTTACGTCTGCATTGTTTATAACATTTTGAATACACGCTATGTTTGGTATTATATATGGCCAAGTCGAAACGTGGTGCTACTGTTCTGACATATTAAAATCGAATCTATAAAGAATCTGCTTTTCTCCGAATGTGTCGTATTGCTGCCTTTATTGGCGGTTTTCGAGTAATCACTATTTCAAATACGATAATTTTTTGAAATTTTGAAAATAATCCACAAGAGGATGTAAAATGTTTTTTGGTATTTCATACTTTTCGCAACTTATTCCAAGTTTAATGAACGTACAGTTTTGATGTATCACCAAGAGAGAAAAGTATTTGATGAATTATCCAGTAAATTTAGTTGAAATACCAAACCGTTTTTAAATATGTTACATCTACATAGTTAATAAAATTGAAAATTATATGCTATGTTTGGTATCATATATGGCCAAGTTAAAACGTGCTGCTACTGTTCTGACATAATGAAACCGGATCTATAAGGTATCTGCTTTTCTCCGAATGTGTCGTAGTGCTGCCTTTATTGGCGGTTTTTGAGAAATCGCCATTTCAAAATCGATATTTTTTTGAAATTCCGAAAAAAATCCACAAGAGGGCGTAAAATCATTTTTTGTTATTTTAAGATTTGCCACTTCTTCCAAGTTTAATGAACGTACAGTTTTGATGTATGACCAAGAGAGAAAAGTATTTGATGAATTATCCAGTAAATTTTGTTGAAATACCAAAACGTTTTTAAATATGTTACATCTACATAGTTAATAAAATTGAAAATTATATGCTATGTTTGGTATCATATATGGCCAAGTTAAAACGTGCTGCTACTGTTCTGACATATTAAAATCGAATCTATAGGGTATCTGCTTTTCTGAATGTGTCGTAGTGCTGCCTTTATTGGCGGTTTTTGAGAAATCGGTATTTCAAAAACGATAATTTTTTGAAAATTTGAAAATAATCAACAAGAGGGCGTAAAATGATTTTTTGTTATTTCATACTTTCCGCAACTCATTCCAAGTTTACTAAACGTACAGTATATATGTATGTCCAAGAGAAAAAGATGTTTGATAAATTATCTAGTAAATTAGTTGAAATACCAAACCGTTTTTAAATATGTTACGTCTGCATTGTTTATAAAATTTTTAATACACGCTATGTTTGGTATTATATATGGCTAAGTAAAAACGTGCTGCTATTGTTCTGACATAATGAAATCAAATCTATAAGGTATCTGCTTTTCTCCGAATGTGTCGTAGTGCTGCCTTTATTGGCGGTTTTTGAAAAATCGACCTTTCAAAAACGATAATTTCGTGGAATTTATTAAAGAATCCACAAGAGTGCGTAATTTTTTTTTTGGTATTTTAGACTTTCCTCAACTTATTCTAAGTTTAATGAAGTGCATTTGTTGTGTGACTTTGTTGTGTGACAAAGAGGAAAATATCTTCTTTGATTAACTATCCAGTAAATTTAGTTGAAATACAAAATCAGTTTTAAATTTGTTGTATATACATTGTGCATAAAATTGAAAATTATACGCTATGTTTAGTATTATATATGGCCAAGTCAAAACGTGCTGAGACTGTTCTGACATAATGAAATCGAATCTTTGAAGTTTCTACTTTTTACCAATGGTGTTGCAATGCTGCCTTTATTGGAGGTTTTCATGAAACGACCGTCCTAAACGACGAAAATTCAGTCATTTTTAAACAACTCTCAAAAAAGTATAAAAAAATGTTATGCACTGTAGCAGTCGCTTTAGCTTGTTTACTATGTATTAACAATACGAGGAGTGTAGTTAATGATTGTTTTGCTTTATTTGCTATTATGAAACTAATCAAAATGTACACTTTCTTTTAAAAATCATTGGGAACATTTAATTTTACGCGTGGGTATTTTCTGCGATTCTGTCAGTCACAATTTCGTGTTTTGCTGCTAGCTTCACAGAGGTTAGCTGAACTGTGTAACATTTCGTTGTCTGAATATGATTCAAGATTATTACAATATATAAATTATTATAAATAAGATATGGTCTATACTGTAAGGTTAGAATGCTCCGATAAGCGTGAGTGTGGGTTGACGATTGCAATAATCTGTCAAATCTTGCTTGATCTATATAAGTGTAATAAAGTAACATGTAAAATTCAGGTATTGAAAATTGAATTAATTAATTCCTGCATTTTTCTCAGACCCCCGAGCAGCAGCAGCTAACAAATTAATTTATTGCAAGCTCTCCAATAACATAAGAATTAGTGGAAATGGCAGACTCTGATGGTACAAAGCAAAGTCCTCAACATTCAAAATCTAGCAGCCAACAAGATTTAGATAAAAAGAAACGACTGTTTTTCAAAGAAATTCGATGTATGATGTATGGCTTCGGAGATGATACCAACCCCTATACAGAATCAGCAGAACTCATAGAAGAACTTGTTATAGAATTTATAACAGAACTTACACATAAAGCATTGCAGATCGGAAGGCCTGGAAGAGTGCAAGTTGAAGACATTGTTTATCTCATTCAAAAAGATGCAAGAAAATATGCCAGAGTTAAAGACTTATTAACTATGAATGAAGAACTTAAAAAAGCAAGAAGGGCTTTTGATGAAGCGAAGTTTTGATTTCCAAATTTGTACTTGAAAAAGAACTAAATCGGAAAAGAATTGTGAATATAAATGGTCCTATTGTGCAATAAACCGAATCATGTCTTACAAAGACTAATTCGTCTGTACAAAATATTTGAGGCCATAATTTATCATTCACTTTTTATATAAAATATTTATGTTTGTTTTGCTCTGAACAAGCAGCTCTTAAGTAAGGAGCTATTATAGTTTGGAAGAACCGGATCATTCCGGCTTGGCTCTGCTTATCCAATTTATTATACCATAGGTGTGATATCTTCATAGTTTAGTCTGAAGCAGGGGTGTGCAACACTCAGCTCAACACACCTTGTCAACACTCAGATTCACCCCACCAAGCATAAAATCTTAATCCGACAGTTTATGTTCAAAAATGCGCTCGCATGGCTAAAAATATGTAATGTTTCTGTTCACTTGTCGCTGCATTCAATCTTTGCATTGTGAGAGTTTTTTAATTCAATGTATCCATGGAAAAACTAAATTTTTTGTGCAGACCAGCTGAATGTCTGAAGTTGGTTATATGGGCCACCGACAAAAAATGTTACACACCCCTGGACTGGAGTATAATTGTTTGAGTCTAGGCTACTCGCCTATTAGTATTTTGAATGTTTAAATTTCATTCCAATCCAAAAAATGCAAACTGGGAAGATTGCTATAACATAATTGGCACTTGATCACACTACAATGTGATGGAGATTATTCTGACCTAACTTACTCCATTAATTTTTTTTGATGATAGAGTTCGAACAAAACTGATGTAAATCAAATTTTTTCTGTTTGTTTGGTGTTAACATATTTTCTATTTTTTTTGTTTTACTTTATCTTACATTTATAGAGTAACTTTCATGGTTTTTATCATAAGTTAGCCATGTGATTTGAATCTAAGGATTGTCAAAATGTTTTACATTCCGCACAAGAATGGATGTTGTGAATAAAGCATCAGAATTTTTTGACAAGCACATTAGGATTGTGAAGGTAATTTTTGCTGTATTCTTTAGTGTATTTTTTATGGCAGACTTTTTATGTATTATTATTATGTTTTTAACAGAATGCTGGATATTTGATTGCTGGAATAGGAGTTTTTATGATTGTAAGAAGATCAAGACTTGTAAGTTTATATGTAAATTGCAATATCATTGTAGTCACTTATATTAATCTTTGGCTAATGATTTCATTATCTTAACATTTGCTGTTAACTAAAGTGGTAAATTTATGAAACATATATGGCATCTTCACCGATTTTGATTTAAAAATCATGTTCAAAATACACCTCTTTATGGTTTTATATACTAGAAATAATTGAACTTTAACAATTGCAAATTTGCAACCCCATATCCACCAGTCAACATGAACCAATTTTTGGGGTGTTGGTAGTCCGGTAAATACACCTAGAGCTCTTGTAAACAAGGTGGCTGTAGCTTTAAAATCCACGCCTTGGCGTACAAAGACCTTACCGGCCTGGCTATCAGTAGTACGTTAGCACTGAAATGAAGTTTACTTCTATTCTCCTAGTCAAAGTATCAACTTTCGAAACTCCCTCTTTCTTTTTGCTCTTTCTTAATTGCAAATAATTCTGTTACATGCAAATTAAAAAAAATGAATCATCAACTGATAAATTTCTTGATTTGATTCAAATCAATTGTTTTGTTTGACAGTTCACAAAATTCAATGTTGCTTCTGATATCCCGGAAGATTTTATTCAAAAGAGGATCAAACTTCGTGGAATAGTCCAAAATGTTTGCACAAATAGCACATTACATGTTGAGCATATACCATCAATGTCATATCCCGCTGCAACTATTGTGAGGAGATTTCAAAGTAAGATAATGTTTGTTCCAGAATCAATATATTTATAAAACTTTTACTTTTGTGTCCATGTTGTCTAATTTTTTTATAATTGAAAATTTTGTAATCATATGGTATTAGTTTTCTGCAATCTTTCGCTATTAAATATTTTGACAGGTTAGGAGAAGTTTTACATCTGTTTTCTAAAAATGATCGCAAATTAAATAAATTTCCACTCCACGAATATTCTATTAATTTGTAAAAGTTTCAATTTGCTAAGAGCATTAACATAACATTTATTTCTACTTTCAGAACAACTGGATAATAATGGTTTGATATCACTGGATATGGCTGGAGTATCAATGAATGATGTTGGAATTGATCTTGTTAAAGGAGAGATTGAAGGGAAAGCAGTATGGTTTGAATTATTAAATCATGTTGAGAAAGATCAAAATGCTCCTGCTGTTATTTACAGAAGAAAGGTATCTTTACGTTCACTTCAAATTTACAGAGAGCATGCATAGTTTATTATGCCCCTGGCCCTAATGGTCAGAGCATTCTTTAATTAAATTTCAATATCTGGCGCTCCAGAAGTGTGTGAACCAATTTGTAGGTAACTAATTTTGTTCGCCTATTTTACATCAAGTTGTGTAAAATGACTGAAAACTATGGGTATATTCACTGGGCTAACACAGATAGTCCTCCGGCTGTCTAATCATAGTTCGTAATAGAACTAGAATAAGAAAAATCGGAATAAATTTATAGCCAACCTGGTACACACACTACGGAAATACCCAATATCTCACTAGAACTAGAATATTTCAAATCAGATTATCTTTTAGCATTGTAGTGCTCTTTAAACAAACCTTATTCAGCGTGGAAGTGTCGTCTCAAAAACCATGGAATATTTGTTTGTATATAATATAGATCTACTTCAAAGCTAAGATTTAGTGATAGGTGCCAGTTTGTGGTGGTTCAGCACCTTTATCAGAAACTAGACAAAAGTTTTTGTTATAATTTGATATTTTAAAAAATAATGGTATCCTTAGCTAGGAATTCACAATTTTCACCACTCAACATTTTAATTTATTCAACATTTGTCCTCAATATATTCTATGCTGTTTCGTATAATCAAATACATTCACTCATTTTATTCTAGTATGCCATTCTTCGCAATTATAACATATATGTTGTAAAGATGGGATATGGGGCTGTTGATAATGTACCCAACTGCTATCATCTTAAAGTACAGCAATCTCTTCAGAGATCATTGCTTAAAGCCCAGAAAAAAGCAGCAATCAAGAAAAGAGGAATCTGGAAGGATTGACTATGACCTGGGTGACAAATCGGAACAGATTTGTGGGACCTTATTACGGCAAGACTATGAATTTTGTTTGTTCAAGTTTGCTTCAGGCAAGGTTCTAACCCTCCACTAACAGTGGAAAGGGTATGAAAAGAATACTTGCGACACCTGTTGCACTGAGAGATTTGTATGGTATTGATTTATTCCTGCAAAGCAATGTATTACAGGTATCATTACAGCACTGGTACAAACTAATTTAAAACCTGTTCACTGTGTTGAATTATAGTTTGGTACAAATATTTAATTTTTCAATAAATAATATTCATTGTATGACCGTTAATGTATTTCTCCGTCAGCTATACAGTTCTCCGCAGTTGTAAAACAGATTTCTTGTTTAAAGATAATCCTGTTGAAAATATTACAGGCGATGTATATACAGATAATGATAAATTATACAAAAAAGAAGCTTCTACACAATCTGATATAGTATGTAATGTTTTTTTTTCTAAGTCTGACTTAATGTTTCTGGGTAAAGTTCTTTGAAGAGTGGCTCTTGGTTACAACTTTGGTGAAGAATCGGTGTCAAACGTAATCGGTTTTCCGGTGGTCATCAAATGCAGAACTTGGTATTGTTTCTCTGGTATGAAATACAATTCAACAATTGACAAAAATTAGTTTACGATCATAGCAAGTAGTAGTAAACGTCGTTAAAGAACAAAAAATACTTTCAAAGCTCGAAAGTTGGCGCATTGTGCTAATCGTTTGGTACATACGTGATATCTCACCTCTGATCACCCTGCGTATCCTATGGGCGGTAGGATATGTGCGAAAGGATTGCTGGACTCCCGACTCCTCCCTCATCAAGTGCTGAAACAAATGAGTGGCTAACCCCATGAACTGGTGACCGGACGAGAGACCGTGGTTCGCCATATGCTCAAGCAGTCAATGGACTACATCCAACGTAGTACGATGACCGAATGCATAGTTTATTCTTGAAATATTCAAAATACACAAGTATATTCAATGGGAAGCGGGCACACCTCCTTGCTAGTTCGTATCCGACCGGTGATTATCCTAACACAACGAGAGCAAGCGCGAAAAAGCTCACGCTCCCGCCTATCGCGACTGTAACATCTGAATTTGGAATATCTTCACTATTCGCGTTGAATATGCCCTCAAGTTCCGATTCAAAATATTAGCATTATCTGGCTTCCGATTCATATATATACATAGTGAGATATTACTGACCTTGGTGTTCGATACCGATATCCATCATATTCGTCATCCCCCTTATCTTTGCATGCTCCAAAGAATAATATGCATCCGGATATCAGCACTAAATATAATAGTATTTAGTTAGAAGAATTGTAATATTTGGATGCGCTCGGAGGCCATCGAGCCCAATGATCAATAGCCAGTTTTGGGGAGACAGGAGTTGTGAAAATGTTGCATTACAAATCGAGAATTTTCCAGCTCGTTGCGGCAATGGCCCACGATGAGCTATGTTGATGACGATGTACATTTTGTCAATACATTATCAAATCCTAGTTTGGCTCTCAGTATAAAGTTGGTTTTACGGAAGATGGAAGTGATAGTGTTAATTCGAAACATATATATTTACCCATTTCGTTGTTGTTTATAAAATCTAGGATTACTGAAGCTTGAATATTACCTCGAAACAACAGCGACTTATTATCTGGGATGCAAACTTAGAAAACTTTGCTTTACTTACAAAAAGCCATTGAAACCCATGCCACATACAGGCAAGGTCCATATTCATATTTAAATTCCCTTTCTTGGTAGTAAGGATTGTAGAACTGATATGTTACTTGCCAGGCATAAAACGAAGTTGCTCCCAATGTGCATAACCCTATGATGAAGCAAAATTAACGACAAAATTATATGTTCAATGTTTTGATGTTCCCTCGGCCAGGTTTTCTCTCGCATGAGTATATTCTTATAGTGCAAAACTGTGTTTTCATGCCATTATAAACTTAGCATTACGTCAGTCAAATTTAGAGGTAGTCAGTGGTGGGATTCAGTCGGTTCTATAGAACCGTCTCACGGAATTTTATGAGATCAGCGAACCGGTTAGAATTACTGGTTACTGTCAATGTTCTGTTTGTAACAGAACTGGCTGAAAAATATGACTTTTGTGATGGAACCGGCTGACAAAAAATTTGAATCCCACCAGGTAGTGTAGGATCACTTAAACATAACAAATCGCTTTTGATAACTATATTTCCCATAGCAAAACAATACTTAAATCTTACATGAAACTAAAATCATGGCGCCGGCTGCAAGAGTCAGACTTCTCTTTGCTTTAGTTCCGTTTCCCAAAATATTTGAGCAGTCTACCACCAACATGTTGATGATAAGGCCGAAAAACGTAAGCACACATGCCGTCGTCATCAGCCCTCGGCAAGCTTGAATTCCAGCTAAAACAGGGCAAATGAATATATTATATCAATTTTCAGAAAAAAATGGAAATTGCTATATTGCTCAAAAATTGACTGTAAGTAGCATCTTGTCAGGTAGATTGCGGGACTAAATAAATACCTCCAGATTTTCTAGAGTCCGAATTCCAAGGTTTGGCAAATCACTATTTACTAGGGCTGGAAATGATTAACCGGTTAATTGATTTCAGATGGTTAACGGTTACGAATTATTTCAACCGGTAACTGACATCTCAGGTACAAATCATCTTCATACCGTATAATTTCTTCAAAATATGATTACGTCATCGCAAATTATATCTCTTGTGGCATTTAATTCAAAAGAATATTACTAACAGTGTGCGTAAAGACTCAATAAATGTGGAAAATATTGGAAGTACCAAGATTGCTGATTATGGAATTTGATAATGATGAATTCAGAATCAGTTTTCGGTCAGATTTCGAGATTATATTGTTAACGATTTCATCGCAAAAAGTCGGATATATCATGTCATACACAAGTACAAACACTGAAAATTTGTCACAGTAAATGAAGTTTAACACGAAATCCAGGTTTTCGTAAAAATACCTTCAACACGCCGAACCACGGCTTGGCCATTGGTCTGGAAGCAGAGCAATCATGAAAACTATATCGCTTCGTGAATAATTTTATATGCGATAACGGATAAAGCCACGCGAATTGCATTATAAGCATTGTTGACGTAAGCAAGCTGATAATTATAATTATTACGTCAAACTGTCACGCGGCGGGTTAACCCGGTTAATTTTACCCGGTTAACGGGCAAAAGTGTATTTCCCTTAAAATTCCCAAGCCCACTATTACTTCCAGGATGGAACGTTATATGCATAATAATATTTAAGGCAAGACATCAAAAATGTTGAATTAATACATTTGGAGCGTACTAAAATGGGGATTCGTTATATATTATATTGCACCCCCATAGATGGTAGCTTATTGAAAGTAATACATATCCGAGCAGCAACATTGACATCGCATCTATAGCTCATGCTTGGCATTTTTTGTACACGCCCGCCGTTTGGCAAGCGTAGTCACGTGTCCTGTCCTGCTTACTCCACGCGGCTATTATCTGCGTCACAGCAGTTGTTATTGATTTATCCCAAATGCAGTGTTCTTGGATGTAACTTAATGATTCCTTATTCTGTGCAAATCTGTTTACATGATTATTGCTATATGGACAATTTACAGGCTACTCCGCTTACGATTGTTGCGTGTTGTCGCTCTCAGGTGCATTTTATAGAATGTTTCGTATTTATAGCCACTAAATAACATCACAAAAAGATTCTGACTTTCAAGACTAAGTGCAGTAATCTATAAATAACACTCTCGATGGAAATCTATAAATTCATAGCATGAGTCGACCTCTGTATTAATATGTTCATATGCAAAGAAAGTGAATACAGTATACAGAGAGACGAGAGAGTGAGCAAAAAATTCTGTTTCTTAAATCTGGCCATGCCAATATAATCGACATGTATTTTTTCAGACCTATTTGAATGAAATCTATATTCAAATACAAGAATATCTACAGTCGACTCCCGGCGCTTCGCTAAAAAAAATTTTTGAATTCGGCTTCGGGTTGGGAAAATGTTCGACTCCTACTCACGATCCGAATAAGATGAAAAAAGTAATTTTGATGACGAAAGCTCTTGCATTTAAGAGTTTCTTCAGTAAACTGTTAAAAGCACTTAGTAAAGTTCTTTTTTGAGTTTCTGTATAAAAGTTTGACTTATTTATATCATTATTGAAAGTTTGCAACTTCGACTATTTCAGAATTGTGATTCCAGGAAGTTTGGAAATGCAACACCGGCTCCGAATCCATTGAAAACCGACCAAACCCTACTTCCTACTCCACACCCTTGAAGATATTGTCGTCTTGTATTTTTTTATATAATTTGTCATGTTTACATATATTAGTAAACTGCTACCGTATCAATGTTGTTTCTTGGAATTATATATATATCATAATATTCTAAAACATGTCGTCAAAACAACTGGTTGAATTAATTGATTTTATAATATTATCTGCCTGTGAGATAATAATTAAGCATAGGGTAGTCATAAAATAAACATTTCAACTAGAAGTATGCACAACACAATAGCACTGAGCAAGCGTAAGCTATCTGAGAAGAATGTGACGACAGAATACAATTATCTGAGGCCCGATTTTGTTTGGTGATGTCGCTTTGCCTATTTCTCCGTTCTGTTGCATTTTAAGCTTGCAATGTAAATGTTTATTGAGAAAAACGTCATTTGTGTAAATTAACTAACAATGCATTTTGTGTCGATTCAATGCCTCAGTCTTATCAATGTTTGCATACGTTAACACGTCCGACAATACTAAGACCTCGTAGAGGTGGTCCAACTGCCTCCATACTACATAGGGCTTATACATATAGAACGCAATATGTACAATTCGCTGAAATAAAATGGGAAGATACCTGATCCTAAAAGATTGTCGTAACATTCATTGGCAAAGCCTGAAAATACCTTTCAAACATTATGGATGTGTCTTATAAGGTTTTGCCTATAAGATAAAGTGTCTTGGTCATCTTCAATTTCATATGAATTGAATTTACGAAAACTTAGCAGTGATAATTCGATATTCAGAAGGCTGATAATTTTGATACTTATATATTTTTTTAAAATTGTGGTTCAACACCAAACACATATTTTAACGGCGTAATTTTCAATTTACCATATATAAATGGTAAAGTCGAAAGCAACATAATATCACAGCATATATATCAGAATGCATGTTCTAATACTTACAATACACAAGGGAGTTTGGATTTCATTTTTAATTCACAATTCGAAATATCAGCAGATCTAAATAGGTAATAAAGAAAAGACTATTTTCGCAGGACGATCAAAGAAAGCTTGCCACTTCGTCCTTGCTGAATGGAAGGAAATAGGATAATTTTCTGCGTACAAATCTGTTACGAACTTTTCATTTGAAGGAACGATAACAATCATCGGTGCTACTTTTGTATGCGATCTAAGCGGCTGTGTGATCTCGTTCATTTTAGGTAAATGGGTTTGGTGCTGAAGTTTATGAGAATGTCTTTATGAGAATAAACACATACCTTACGGGTAAGTAAACGGCTAGAAAGAGTTTGGACCTCCAATACCAAATCGTAACAGATATACTTTAGAAATACCACTATAACAGTAAGCTTATTCGATTTACCATCAACGTATAGTGTCGGCATCCCGTAGTTGCTACATGTGAATCCTCCCGTTTTCAGAGACATGCATTGCCACCATAGTCCATCAAATGTTGGTATACGACCATACAATGGATCAGACACCTATAAAATTGAATGTTTCGTTTGGTCAGACTTATAGGGAAACTAGCTAAAGGACTTGTGATATAAATGCAGTTGTGGGATTTGAATTCACGCTATTGAAGTGAATGATGTCTTGAACGTTTTGCTGAGTTTACTTTTCACGAAGATTAGTTATAACTTAGGTTGAAAAATTTAATTACAATAATGAAAAGATATTGAAAGACGGTTCAAGGTACGCAATCAAATAAACAATATTAAAGTATTGTTATATTGATGCGTATTTTTATCAAGAATTTACATACAGTTTCTGTAATTAATGATCATACTTTCGAATAAAATTGTGATTCTTTGCTGATAATTATATTACGCAATACGCCTAAAGATAGAAAAAGCAGTATTGAGGCTCAATTTTACTTACTTGCCAACTGCTTTTCCTCCAGTATGGGATCCCTGTCGCTACCAGCAAACCATAATGTCCTAATACATTTAACGCAAGGCTCGCATAATATATAGGCTTTTTTGCCATTGTGGTTTCTGTTGATCATAAATTTCTATTAAGTCTATTTTATGTTACTAAAAGTGTACAATTAGTTTTGACAAGAGATCGCAGAACGTTGTTATCTGTCTGATATCATTTATTCTTTGAAGAAATTAACATCTTTGTTTTGTTAGCCTGCTGTTCGTCCGCACACAAATCAAACGAGCAAGCACACGAATAGAAACTAACAAAAATAAAAGGCTACGTTCGTATCTGAATTAACTTCTTATGTCATTCTCATCTATCAGCGAATACAGACTATTGTCTCCGAAAGTTGATTTTAATGATGTGGCCTTTTCTAACAACAGGGCATTCGCTGTCAGAAGAAAGAACTTCAGGGTCACTATCCTAATGTACATCGTACTTCTGAGACAGGTAAATGAAATTTAATAGCACCTATATGGTTAAGTCATTATGAAGTACCTATCAGTATCACAAACTCAGACTAGATAAAACAACATATGCAACAAACAGCATGTGTATATATGTAGTTTTAAAAAAAGCTAATAATTAACTTGTTTGCTATTCGTTCACGTTATTGCATAATGTTTGACAATTGTCGTATTTTTATTTTAGCGTTCAATGTGTTAATGTGTTATATATCCTTAACATTGGGATGGGGACGCGCTGGAACATATGGTTGGATTGGTTAGGCGTTCAATCAAGGACATCGCGTAACGCTGCCACGATATTACCTCATATCTCTACTCTATTACTTAGAGAGTTGGAGAGAACATTCATAATTCGGTTTATCAGCTTTATTTTCCCTGGATGATTCATCAAAATCATTTCAATTTTATTTTCGTCAAACCGATCCTGATATGGCTAAAGTTACATTCGATGCCGTATGAACTTATGTCTACTTGATCTGAAAAGCAGTAAACCTTGACCTGTGTTTCCGCGATCCTACGAATGTGCCCCAAATCGGGCGTGTGATCCAACAGTATGGCCCGAACGAGAGTGCGAGGTTCTTGACTCATAAGAAGATCTGTCGCCGGTGAAGACGGTCTGAAAATGACAGAAAATTATAGAAACACCGACCATCCAAATTACTGTGAGTAATTCAATAAAGAAGTACCATCGTATACCATATGTCAGTAGTGTCTTCACCCACAACCAGTAATGGGATTCAAAATTTTGAGAACAGGTCATCATTTGTATCGAACTTACCAACAACAGGTTCTCTCATTTCAGAAAATGTGTGTATGTGACTATATAAGTTACATTGATACGGTGCGCTTTGCATAAATCCAATACATAACTTTCGAAACTCCAAATATAACGCTTGTCGTCAGCTGTGGTTCATGTTACCAATTTGATGCGCTCGTCTAAAAAAAGAAGAACGTGTCCGCTGATTATCCCTGAATCAGACCACTGCGCGCAGCCTTGGGGCAATGTTCGATAACTCTGTTTCTCATCAGTAGCCTATATATGCTAGGCAGTAAAATACAGTTCATTATATTATTACATTACTGTAGTTCAAGTCCTACTATAAAAGTGTATCCCTGTTCTTTGGAAGTGAATATATTCAGCCCGAAAGAGGTAAATGAGAAGAAGATTTTACACACCGCATCAATAAATCGCCCGTAGATTTGATAACCTGTGCACAGGATGAGCATAGGTTAAATATACTATGTGGAAAACGGTTAAATGAAACACGAGTCACACACTGATAAATTTGGTTGCAATATTTGAGCGACATTGTTACAAATTTTGTGGGCGATTTTATCACCGTGGGTTGATATCAACGTAAAACAGCAATAACAACACGACAGAGGTGAGGCAGAGCAAAACGGATGTTCTGTTTTCCGGATTATCTCGGTTTCACCAAATCATAATCGTTTAAACATGGGCCACATTTACTCATACTTTTACGTGTCGCATAGTATGACAGTTCTTTACAAAAACGTAGCAGGTCGTACTGATGATATATGTAACATGATATCGAATGTGTCATCGGCTTCCGCCAGTTAGTTGATGCTGGAGGACGATGCTCATGCTGTATAAATCTATAGAAAACAGCAATATGCGAAACAATACATAGCTGACGATTATATCATTTTCCCGAAACTTATACATTCATTTTCAGCAAATGCCCAACTCAGTCGAAGCTTGTTATGAAGCACACAAAACATACTATCAATACCCCAAATTTTACTCCAGATCACCATGCTATTGAATCATATAACAATATAGCGGCACAAATATACATCATAAATCGGAATGACCCAAAATAAACTGAAGCTTGTCATAAATTGCACTTGAAACATCCTCAATCAACATAATCGAAACTTATTAAAGATGTACACGCAATAAAGTTTTGGAACAGGAACTATGTTTTGTTCATTTTTTGTGCAGATGAGCTGGAAGTAGATTAACTAGGAAATCGGCGCACTTATATGAAATGAATATAAACTAGAGAAAATAAATGAATTTACTGTCGAACTTTTTTGTTACTATTTTTCAGCGCGGAATTCTCAGTTTTTATTTAGTTGATCAAACAGATACATTCTGATTTTGCGTACATACTGCAAATGAAAAATAGTACCATGAGATTTGTACAAAGTTATGGATAGAGGATATTTTTGTTGAGGAATGCTCAGTATCATTATCACCGCATGTTGAAAAATATTTCTGATAGTGATCGCGGTAGAAGCAGTGGTAAATCAGCTAAGTGTAGAAGCTTATAGGTAAAAATGAATATATGGATGCCTGTGCACTAACTCAGCAGCTAATTGTGGTGAGTGTTCAACTTTTGTAACATGTATAGACGCCCAACAAAAAGCTTTTTGACCTGATTATGAATATATGGCGTGAATCTTCTTTGAATATTGCAGTATATAACCTGAATTTTTCACAGAAACTATCTCCGAGTCCTATTTGGTTTATATGTGTTAATTGTTATATTTTTTTGTCAATTATTTTCTGCGGATGCATGGTGGCACAAACTATCCTCGCCGTTCTTTGAAACGCGCTTCATGCCAAGAAAGTTTAAATGTTTATAGGCCTAAAGCTATTGCTTCCTTCCGTTTGAAACCGTATGTCATGCATTCTCGAGATTGTCAGTCTCTATTGAAATATAAAAAGTCCATTGGACGACGGATTATCCTTCAAGCAAACAGGGACGACCCGTGCATATGGTGGCGCGAAAAATCTCATAGCAGAGTCAGAACACGTTTCGACTTCATCGAGACGAGCCGACGCAAGCTGCTCACAGGCTTTTCATCGCACAAGCCCACGTAACGCTAGTAACATGCGTGTCACAACTCGGTCATTATTCATATTTTTACTGCAGCTATTGCATGAGCTCTTTTTTCTTCCATTTCCTTTCTGTCGCGTGCGTTATAAGGCTCGGTATAGCATAGCAGTGATGTATCTTAGCTTATAGCGTCAACTGAGAAATCGAGAGTATATAGCGCAAATGACAAGTGCAGTAAGTGAATAGATAATTCATTCAATTACAAGCATCGCATGAAACAGGTTTTGATTATTTGTTTCTTACCATTGAATTTAAAACCAATGCTTCTATTTTGCGATATATATATCAAATGAAGTGCATTTTTGCTACCGATTATACATTATCTACGCAAAAGGGAAAGCCACGATTCAATAGTAGTAGAGCTATTATGTTGAGAACAGTCTATAGACAGGTAGTTACATTTGATCGTCAACCATTAGGAAACATTAAATCAGGATAAATTGTGTGGACCGTTTGCGGTTTTGAATACAGGGAACCGCTGTCCATATTCATGTGGTAATAGCAGGCAATACCGACAGGAGAAAGTAACTTCTCATTGCATCGTAGTATTTTGAAATATTTCAGCCCTGAATTGCGGTATTCAAACATTGCAAGATATTTCGGTATTGCTAAATGCTACAATGAGCAAAGTAATATGCTCATATTATTGTAATTGCCTGTGATTGAGCTAGCTTTGTTGCGGATTTCTATTACGGGAAGGTAAAGGAAGTTTTAGGAATAATCGAAAGTTGCATTAAGGTTGATTGAATAAATCTGAAAGCAGATAAGAAACCTAAACACGTGAAAAATACATTTATTCGTGAATTTCTATAAAAAATGACAGCATAAATGAAAATTAAGTTGAAAAAAAAATTGACGGAAGTCGCAGAATATAAAGACTTCGGATAACAAAAAATGAGGTGTTCGGAATGGGGGTTGCTGTCGCAGCCCGTAACTTTTTTTTAAGAAGCCTTTTTTTAACTAGAGGTATCATACCATATCAGTTTGTACCAGATGATATGGAATGAGGAAATGCTGATTTCAGAGTCTTTCTGTGTGTAAAATTATATATTGTCAACTCCATATGCATATTTCAAACTGTTTTTCCTATTTCATAGCAATAGTTTTTGTAGTAAAAGAGCGCTGCGAGAGCTTCATGACTTAGTTATCGCAAGAATCACTTTTATGTAATTTTATATTAATCGGAAATTCCCGTCTTATAAACGGACAAAGAACAAAGAAGCACCTCCTATTTCACAGTATATAGAAAATCAAGAAATCCAGAGAAGAGGAGACGAAAAACAGTCAATTGTACATAAAGAGCATAAAACCCATATACAGAAAAAGAAACAGAAAATATTTAAACTATATCAAGAAAATATAAAGATAATGATGGCTTCGACAATGACCATTCCTCAAGTAGCCGCTTTCCACGGCCCCATACCCCGCCCAATTCATGGGGCAATGCCGGGTAGTGTACCCACCGCAGCCATGCAAGGCAACTATGCCGCAGGACATGTACCAGTTTCTCTACAAGGGCCGGTGAACGTTATGCCTGGACCAATCCCCACTAGCAACAACTCCCCTGCAACCATTAGTCCACCAGTACAAGCGCTCAGACTCCCAGTCGTTCCGGTCGGAGGAGGATGTTACAATGAGTGAGTTTTAATTTTATTAGAATTTATTCAAATAGAAGCATTTCTATTCTGAAGTTTTATAAACGATAACTTGAAAAAAGAATATTGTGATTGAAAATTTTAACCCCACAGATTCTCGCTTGGTAGCGATATTCAGCGATTCAATACAAGACGATTTTTCGAGAACGACATGCAAAATATTAATTTCTACTCAACACTACGATTGTGCTTTACTTTCTCTTTTGTATGCAGTTTGTCAAATATCATTTCATCATCGCTTGCAGAATCAAAATTAGATTCAAGCGCATTCCGACCCAGAGTATGTTGCTAGATTCTGAAACCAATTTGTAGCTGATTGCTAAGCTATGAAAGAAGAATCTAACGTTGATTCAAACTTGACTGTGGCGCATAGTTCGTTATTGTGCAGACATCAACGCACTCCGTGTTCAAGATAACACGTTGAAGATGCACGAACTGTAGAATAATGTGCTTTATTGTTTTCCGCATTATTGACATTGTACTACAATTCGTGTACTTCGATTGATTGAATGTGTTTTGTTGAGTGCAACATGAAATGATAGATTCTATGGCAATTCTATGCACAAAAATGTTAAAGCAAAATTGCTTAATATAAAATTTGCTGCAGCAGAAAAGTATTGTTTTCTTCGAAATGTACAAATTAAAATTTTTGACATCCTTGTTCATTGAGCTCATTTTTATTTTTGAATATATATATAAAAATCCCATTAAATGTTATTTTTTCATAAAATTCAACAACAATTTTGAGACTACAAATAATATTGTAAGTTGCTGATGATGTATGGAATGTCTCAGCTTTAAAATAACGTTTGTATCCGTTGTGATTTGAATATGGATCATGATAATTCTTCTTCTTGTAACGTACAGAGTGTGTCAGGGAAGTGCATTGTTTCCACTTCAATCCGATCTTTACTCTTCTGTATCAATATGCAAATTCAACAACATCAACACCAACACTATCATCGGCCATGCATAAAATATCGTCAAATAGTTCTCTACAGTACATTGAATCATTCACCCAAGCCTGATCTAGTGTTACGTTTAAACAATTGACATAGTTGCATTCGAAACGCGATTGACCCATTGGACGGAAAGAATGCGCCTGCGCATCCTTATTTCGACAGATCATGTATGTTCAATACATAACCAAATGATGTTCACAACTGACAAAGCATGGTGTATCATAATGAGCAGATAGGGCAACGCAAGTTCGTTTCTAGTTTTGACTCTTTTCCGCTTGTTGGATATATAGATAGTAAACAAAACGTGAAAAACATTTGGTACAACATTGCAGATATTCACGCGATCGCGAGATGTTAGTAATGGAGAGGCTTAAATTGGATTTTAAGATAGTCAAATGTTAAAAAAAATGATTTCTTACCGGAAATAACAATCTTCGAGTGACTGTATTATACTTGTTATTTTCCGCTTAAAACCGTGCGATAGCAAGTTATGAATAAGCTACCAGTTCTTGCTGAAATAAACGCGGTACTTCAACATTAAAGTAAAAAATCGAAACAAAATAATAATAATAAAAATTTACCTTTTTCAGTGGAATGGAAGTCGTATGGCACGGCGAATTCAGCCGTCTATTCAGCTCGTTCTTTCCTCCACATGTATGGTACTTGTCCATTACGAATTCAGCGCCGCAGGAGAAATGGAAATTTTACAGAGACAGTGCTAAAGTGCGATTTTGCTGCCAGGTAATACTTTTGAATAGGTTAAATTATTTGAAAATCCTATGCACATCAGATTATTAAACATTCCTTAAATAATGAATGACACTCAGTGTAATTTCACTTTTTACCACGTTCTTAAAGTTCACTCTTTGTGAGGCTGTTCTGGATACCGCCAACCTCATTATCAAAGTTTAAGCACGTGTATATTTGACTCTACCGGTATTTTAATTATACGTACCGGTACCCGTGTCGGCCCCTTGCGGGCACTCCCTTCTCATGGCCCGCGAATATTCTTCCGCTTCTAATTTTTTCCCCGTCAATCAACCTTGGGAACCACTGCTCTATACTGATGTCTAAAACTTGTAAATTTTCACTAGCCTCTATGGAATGGCCAACAACTAACTAAATAACTATAACCCATGTGTTCTGTTTATCAATAGTATTGGTAATTGTATTATCAGGATTGTGGCAACGGGTGGACTTCGATGAAAGGAAGAGTGACTTTCTGGTTTCATTTGAATGCAGCGACTAGCGAAGGATTCGTCCAATTCAAACTTTATGGCCAAGTCTGCAAAAAGTGCAATTCTGGAAAGTTTGAATATGTAATGTGGTATCCGGAAGAAGTCTCTAAGGTAATATTTCACGAACGCGTTGAATGTATAACGACAGTTTGGGGTGCTCCCGAAGTATAAGTGCACCAAGATGGCGCACAACCTGAACATTATATGTGAACCAGGTTTGGGTTATCAGGTTGTGCGCTATCTGGTGCACATACTTCTTGAGCGCCCAGTTTGGTATCATTGAAGTATTTAAAAAAAATTTTCGTTACTAAACCATATTACCGAGACAACCTCGGCAGAACAGAGCATAACAAATTATTATAAATCCAAGAACGCCAGTAACTACACGCCGCTGAAGAGCGCCTGTACCCGCTGGAATGAGCGGATTTCCTGTTCTAATTTATGCCCTACACATTAGGATCATCATCGCATATACCCGGTCGGCATTTTATAATAATATACAACCAGTAAATTAATTGTTTTTTTCATGTGTTGAAATTTATTTTGGACATCTACAAACCTACACAGTGTTAAAGAACTTTGGCATTTAAACACCCACAGAATAAATACGGAAAGCGATTATAGACATTATGCTAAGAATAACATTGAATAATGATGTCCCTATTTTGACCCGAAAAGGTTATTGCTTTCCCAATAACTGAAACAAGTCATACTATTTCTAATTATTTACCAGACAAACTATTTGAAGAATCATATATTGAAAAATTGCATTTCTTCAATGACATGATCCGAGTAAAATAACGAACAATGCATTTCCTGTATTCATTTAATTTTCTACCACACATAGTACAGTAATTGCGTATTTTTTTTATAATGGTCCGTTCGAATTTTTAGGTGATGTGTAACTTGTACAACAAAGTCGGGCAAACATTCTATGGTTTCATGCAACCCCCAATACGTATCGATAGAAGGCCTGGACGCCCAAGAAATCAGCATAATGCAGAGTTATGCCAAGCTTGTCGTGATGGAGAATGTGATCAGGTAATTTTATTGATAATATACGATGCTAACTTGAATGCACAACATATTTGCATAAGTATCAGAGTTCAATCAAGCCATGTAAACTTTCAAATTCATTTCCAGGGAAGACCGGTGAAAGCTTTATACAACTATATGCAATCACCAATTAATTTGAGAGCGCCGAATCAAGCTATACCTGGACGTCCACCATTCCCACCCACCTCACTAGGCCCGGTTAACCAAATGCCAGTAGTTATTAGTCAACAACCGATGCATCACGCGGGGCAACTTATCATGCAAAGTCCTCTAAATTCAACACCGCCACATTCTTGTGCATCGTTCATCACTGCTCCAGTGACTTTGACCTCAGGAATTCAACCGATATTGACTTACTCTATTGTGACCGGTCAAACAAAAGAAGCAGCAAAACTTACTCCTGTCCCAGAAGATGAAACAAAATCTGAAGATTCATCTCAAGCTACAGCCAACGGAGACACCACTCCACCAACACCATCCACAGTTTCAGACGGCACTGCAAAATCTGTTCCAATTGACGCTGTTGCAGCCAAATTGGCATCAATCAACATAAAATCCCCTTTGACAAATGGAGTCGCATCGATGAAAAATGGAAGAGCACCAAATTTGAGCATGACAAAACCTGTCTACAACGGTACTACAACTATCAAAGCGCCATTGTCATCAAATGCAAAAAATAGCCCAAAGAAAGTATCACCACTCATCGAAGCAACCACCAACGGCCAGTCGGAGAAAAAAGCTGAAATGAAGCAGCCTCAAAGTCCTATTGCGAACGGATACTCCACGGCGGTTACAGGAAAATCAGTTCTGAAAGCACAGACCGTAAACGGAGTCGACAATAAATGAAAAAGTGGTGAGATAGGTCGTCTAAACACTAAAGTCTTTGCAAACATTGTTTTTGATTGTTGAATTTAAATTTCCCATTTTATTGCACCGGTCTTCTACTGCATCATGACCAGAATTTTCTGTTTTTGCAGGTGGTTTTAACTCATTACGAACACTGTTTTTCCTTTCACCAAAATTTATACGTTTTAGTTACAATTCGGCGCCCAACTACGAATGCATTCAGCATGTGTAAAACAGAACGAAAATTGGCGACTCGGAAAATAAGTATACGCTAGATGGAGAGGAAGAGTTGAGATAATATTCAGACAGACGAGTGCTGGCACCGAAAATGCCTAAATTTGACAGCTTATCTAACTCACTTGTGTCTATGATGTGTTTGTCTAACTATAATCGGACCAATAGGAATTGTAATCAGTAGTACAATGGTGTGTACCATAAGGAGATGCTTAAATTTGCATTATATTATGATCCCTCGCTCATTATCTCTTATATCAGGAACTTCCTCTTCAGCCATCTTGCTATTTCCCGTTTGCCAAGGCGCGGGTGTCCTATTACAACGTTAAAGATTGATTCCAACAAAACATATGACAGAAATTTGATCCCAGAATATTGAGCAGGCTGCTATCACTGTTGCATTCAGAAGGTCCACTGTATACACAACATAATACTAAAATATTACACAGTGAGTTATATTCAGATTTCAAACTGCCACCGCAATTCTTCAAGCCTTACTATATATAAGTGCCTCGTATACTTGTGTAAAATTTATGTATAATATATATATATATTCGGAAATGAGAACAGCCGGTCATATGAAAAATTTTTGAGTATTCGCTTTTTTAACATGACAACATTTTGCCAAGTCGCTTGCTAATTTGGTTTTGATGTGATGTTCCTCATGTATGCACATAACACAACTCCACAAACACCCACTGCTATTCGCGTTACCCTATTTCCTAAGTAAGTATTGACTATCGCTCTTGAGCGTTTCCAATAGGCGGGTATGGACATCTGTACCTCATTACAAAGGAAGCAACTTTCCAAACGAAAACGCTAATCGATTGATTTCTTAGTAATTTATGTCCAGTAAACTCTCCAACATAGCGGTATTTAACCCCTCCATGATCGAAAGAGATTATTGCTGTATCCAAGATATTAAAGTATATTCTTTTCACGTCGAGGCTACTTTGCACTCAAATTGTTTGTTTGTTTTTGTTGTTAATAATTGTTTTATTCGCACTCGTTATTATTGCTGTGTTTGACAAGTTGTTTCACACGTTTTGGGCTCTCGGGAATATTGTCGGACTTTGGTCCGCAGTTGTTCAATCGTGTGTTGTTATGAATATTATTATCATTGCCACCCTTTATGATGGTATTTAAGTCAATATGATGCGTGGGGTTTTGGGGGTACTAATATATATATGAAGCCTAAGTCTTATCATTTATACATAGCTGCTATGGCACGCTGCTAATGGAACTAACTGCTTAGGTGATTGAGAGTAACATCATTTTGTATGAAAAAGTTAAATGGTCTTTGCACAGTTTATAAAGCATATTTAATATTGTTTCTTGATTATGCACAAAGCTGATGTAAGAAAACTGTATTTGCTGCTTTTCCTGCATTATTGTACAGTATAAATATATTCAGAAAGATTTCGATGCTTAGACAATCCCAGAGTCCTATTATCAAAACGTACTATATTTAATACAGCACTATTTAAATATACCCTATACCGTCTTTATATAATCACTATATTTTTGCTTTGATATATATGGTTACACTACAGCGCTTACCAGTCTTCGCAGCTGTTCACTGCCAATGTGGTGTCGTCAAAGCATGGCCTCTCACCTTTGATAAAACGACTTGCCAGGTTTCGTAGTTTATAGATTGCGTTGATGTTTGGCGTTATTGTGTATCCGTCGCCAGTTCACGTGCAGTTCCTATCGTCATTCGGCGCGTAGATTTGTATATAGTATTTTTTTGTTTAATATTGTGTTTTATGTTTACCAATTTTTACTTTGTTTTAAATTAATCTGAATGGTTAACCAACCGCTCCAATTTGAGTGCCTAAAAAGGCATGATTGCGACAAAATCCCCTGCTGCTATAATTAATGACGGACGTTGTGTTCGATCAAAATACTTTCCTTTTTCTTGTGCATTTGTACACAATTCATGTCATTTTCCCATTGTATATATTACTTCACTGAGCAACCATAGGCCGACACCAATTGCAATATAGTTAGACAAACATTATTTGTTAGGTTGTTTACATGCCGTTTACTGTTGTAATCATGGTTTGTTTTGATTATTATGTATATTGCTAATATATATCATTTATTGGCAACTGATATACTCACTTCAAGAAATTCTTCAAATGATCCTATTTTCTGCCTATATGTATCTTTAATCAATGTAATAAATTATGATGTATGATTTCAATGCGTTGCAATACACTTGTATCAAGGTAAAGGCAGTCATGAATTCAGGGGGTTAGGGCGAATCCGTTCTTAGAATGCCGGATAATTAGCGAACTCTTTTTTGTTTTTGGAAATGAGGGAACATACTGTTCCTGAGCTCGAGGCAAATAGAACCCATCACTGGGTAGAGGACTAGAGGCTTATGTTATGTGTGATACCCAATTCTACCCGATAGGCCTATATATATATTTTTTAATAAGCGTGACTACAAAATATTTCATACGCGAAGCAAGATACAAAAAAAAATAACTTAATATTCTTGCCATAGTTCTGAAATATCTTAATTTCTCGATGGATAAAATAGGAGATACGCATAACAAAATAGAGAATCGTCACTCATACAGATGTTTTAAGCGTTCTTCTCTTAGTTTACACCCAGAAAAAAATTAACAAGGGCGGAAATAAACCAATTTTAATATAAAAAATTTTCCACGAATATATATTTAAAATTTGCAGACAGATTGCAAAAAGAGAGACAACAAAACTTTTTTAAAAGACTTCTTTTTTATTATCCAACAATTTGATTACGTGATTATTATATCATAGCAATTATTCGGGTGCTGAGTGTTTTTTTCTGTGTTTTTGTTCGATATTCTTCATATCATTATAGCTAGAGTTTTCCTTTTCCGATAGCGATACCGTTCTTATCTTAACTGTCACGGTGAAGATAGTGAATTTAGGAGTTTCTATTATGGATATGCTTGCTAAATAATAGTAATTATTTAGGTCTCAATTACCACTAAGATAACCGATGATATTCCTTTGTTTTTGGTGTAAGACTTGAGGGCCACGTCGACTTTCTTCCCCTAAATTTAAACTTTCGAAATCGACGCCAAACTCCGACATGCCTGCGGCTATTTTTGAAACATATATTTACGCAGGGGAAGCGGCGACTGAACGCCACGTGAAAATATATTCACGAGAAGTTAGTATAAGGTAAATCGAGTTAGTATCTAGGAGGTCTCGAGAAAGATGTGGCAACCAATCGGAATACTCATGTTCCTCTGTTCATCAGGAGTGGTGTTGGCCCAAGATATGTCGAGCGATGCCATTCTGGTAAGTGCAATTTATCAATATCCCTTAGTTCCTCAAGTAACTAAGGATTTCGAAAATAAGAAAAAAACTTTTTGCTTCGTTTTCTATAATCCTTCCAATATCGAAACAACAAATGCGATGTGAATCTTGGGAGGAAATATTACTCTGTAAATTGTATATATATAACAATATGAAAAATAAAAATGTTTATTATTTACCATTGCCTGTATTATAATCACCTTTGGTAGCGGTCTGTGATATGATTCACGTAAAGTTTTGTGGAAAAATAGAAATGAAAAACGTACATTCTCATTCCTTGTAATTTGATCAGGTGAAAATCAGCGAGGTAAATGAAAGGAAAGGGGACTTAGTTCCGTGGTATTACGGTGCGCTCTATTGTGGTGAATATTTTTAAGATGCATCCAGCCATTTACCTCCATTTAATCAGTAGTCACTTTAAAAGATTTTGCACTTATTTGATTGGAAGAAGGAACGATTCTGAATACCTATTCTATATTTAAAAAAATCTGGATAGGATCAGAAATCTCCAACTAATGCATTACTGAACTTTGTTGTATACAGAAAACGGCGTATTGTATGTGCAAATGCTGTGCAAAAGATAAAAGTAGCTGTGTTCGACTCAGCTCGAGTGCAAACTACGAATGCGGTGAAAGCATGTGCAATGAAAATACATGTGTTGTGTACGAGAAAGCAAGGTGCAAATCGTTTTGCTTCTGCAAGTAAGTTGAATTGGCATGATGTTTAGTCACTATATCCTTGACAAGATTGTTCAGTCCACAATGGTAAATAAACGAACATGGGTTTTGATATACTGCGATATGTAAATGTACAATGAAAGATTACATATTTATTCTACATAACGTTTTACTAAATATATCTATATTTGGTACTCCTGAAGTATGCGCACCAAGATGTCGCATAACCTGAACCCTAACCTGGTACACAACCTGAGTTCAGGTTGTGCGCCATCTTCGCGCGCATACTTCAGGAATCAGGAGGTCCCTATATTTATAGTCAGGTTAACTGTATTTATATAGTCTTCAGCTCTTTTGTTCAATACTCTAATATTTGTTGATAATAATTTTATTCTTGGACTAATTAAAATATAGATCGGAACGGAAGGTTACTGGAAACGGCTCTCATTGGGTTGTTTATTATAGATTAAATAATAACAACTGACAATCACATTAGTGTATCACTAAAAAATCTTACAAGCACGGTATGTTACCCAGCTACTCATTTTAGGGGGTGAGGAGGTGTTTCTAAATTTAGGGGTGATAGATATCAGTTATTAGTAACTTATAAAAAGTATTATTAGTATTTTTTTGGGGGAGTTACACATAATTCGTTTAATTGTGGTAAAACTATGGTTACTGTGAATGTGTGCTAAATTTTTTTAGGATGGTAATGTTAATATTTCCGCCATTACAGTTTCAAATTGAATTATTTGAATATCTGTTTGCATAAACTTATTTCGTTTGCACAGTAAATGCAAATCAGTACTTGAAAAAGACGATCCGCGATGTGCAACAAGATTTCCACGTCCAGCAAATTGCGAATGCAAGGAAAAAATTGATTGTAAAAAACACAAAAAAAAACCGGAAAAACTTGATAAAATACTCAAAAACAAAGACGACCCAGATTCTGAATGTGCCATTCCTTGCTACTGCAAGTGAGTATTCATAGACCATATTATTTTGTTCTCTGTTAAAATATGCATAAGTAAGGTTTAAAAATATCATAGAATTCCATAATGGTAGGCAACATAATACATATATATATATAAACAGATGAACTGCATAGACTTACATAGTTTATGGTATTTCATACAGAAATTGTAAAGCCACATTACCTCCTGAAAATCTTAGAATATGTTTGGAAACGGAGGCACCTGATTCACATTGCAAATGTGAAACCATAAAATGTCCCGGACCTGGAGTTATAAAGAACTTGAATAAGGTATTGAAAATTTTATTCGTATAGTATAGTAGATGAGATTAAACAGCCATGGAAATATGATTATCTGCTGCTTACGATGACGAAAAAACTGGGGGAAAACTTTATTTATGAATTTTAATATGATAATCAACAGTAGCGTACGCCGGTTTTCGTTGAGGGGGTCACTAAAAACTTGAAATTTTACGATACTAATACGGTGCCATATTTTTGTACGTTTATAATTTATCCAACGGAAAAGATTTATTGTGACGTTATATTCGATTTCATTAAAAGTCATGATGACGTCATAAATAAATTTGAAAAAAGTTGCATAAACTATGAAGCAAGTATATTCGGTAATAACTTGTATTAAAAACACGTTAAAACGTCCAACACTCTGGTAAAACATGGTATAAGAAAACGTTTAAATACTTGTTTCTATTCACAATGGCATTGACCATGGTCATCTGCCGACATCATAAATCTTGGGATTTAATTTTTTGGTATCGGAACGAAAGAAAATAATTTGTTTTTGATAATGTTACGCACTCGTGATGTTCATTGCTTGATCTTGATAGATTCGGCAAGTGAGAAAGAAAAGGGAAGAAGAAAAAGACGATAGTTTTAATTTTTCAGATGAAATAGATCTCATTTTAGATCCAGTAGAGTCCAAAGCTATGAAATGTCGGATGAAATGCCAATGCAGGTATGTACCAACAACGTGATATATAATACAAAGAAACACCACACATACACATACAAGTATATGTTGATAGCAAAAAGAGGTACAAGGAGAAGACGACGTAGAGTAAACGATTGGGGCTCACGTTTTGAAAAATGCACATTCTTCTGAGTATGATAAAATCCTATATTACCGAAACACATTTCAAACGGCTTCCTCCACCACCAAGTCCATGCATCTGGAAACAACCAACTAGCCTAGTAATCCTCCATATGGGCTGAAAACCAGACGGGAGGCCGTGGTTCGTGATATGACCATGTCGTATTATCGACTTTCCTCTCCCATCCTAATAATCTCTTCTCTATTTTTTCTGAACTGGGATACTACATTTGCAAATAAACCGAGACAGATAGTTTTTCAGCATAACGTGAGTCAAAGACCACAAAGTTTGTAAAACAATGATAGCTGTATTCTTGACACATTTGCCATATTCTATTTGTCTTTCCAACCTGAAATGTTATTTTTCTTATAGTATATGCGCTGATGCACACGACAACGTACAAGAAACGTGTGAAAGGTTACTGCCTAAACCTCCAATTGATTGTCCTGAATGCGATCCAGATAAAGTTAACTGTCGCGAGAATACAATTGACGAGCAATGTCGAGTTTATTGTTTTTGCAAGTAAGTTTGCTATCCATTTTGTCCTTTTTTACTGGGAGTAACGATATATATCGAAAAAAATTCTGTTCATTGACGATAAGCAAACCAAGTCAGCTAAAGTTACATTCTGGTAAACGGGCAGAATGATTCACATTCAAAGAAACAAACGTAATGGTGATTTATCTTCCATTGAATATATATTAGTCGAATATTTTCAAAGAATAATGCATTATGACTATGTTAGCATCGCAGGTTCAAAGGTCACACACCTCGGATGAAAACCTGAACATTGTTCACTGCGTGCACATTACCATTATACCATATAGTCACATACTTTTATAGGATAAGATTTGATGAACCGAACGGCTAAATATCCTATATATTGTGCAATTGAAATGTGTGAAATTGGTTTGGGGATTAGTCTCTAACTCTTCAAAAAAAAAATGCGAATCAAGCTTCAGAGTAAAATTTTCGCGTACTTATAAAATCACTAACGTTTTTACTTATTTCAGAAAATGCAAGGACGATTCTAGGATCCCGTTCAATTATAAGAAATCATGCATCGACGTAGTTAATAAGCAGATAGGTTGTCTCTGCGAAGGAAAGGGAGACGATTGTGGCATAATAGAAAAAATGTCTGAGAGAGGGACAGAAAGCTTCAAAACGACTAAGGATAAAAAAAGAGCTAAAAAAGGGAAACTTAAAAAGAAAAAGCAGGACAGAGATGAATTATAGTCATTTTTGTTTTGAATTATTTAGTCAATAATTAGTCGAAATACCGATTATTGCTACACACTTGATATGCCAGATTACATTGAAATATTTATTGTAAATCTTTGCAAAAATCCTACACGCTTTTCACAAATTATACAAGTATTATTACATTAGTCTAGGGAATATTTTGACGGATGTAGTTATTATGAATGCACTCAAGTCTGCACTAGTGACAATATAAAATACCTCTGTGTGAAAGTTATTTTTGTGGAGTAAGAAGTGTTGGCGGACTTCGAATATGTATTGCCAGCAAAATTTTAAATTGCATTGGTTTTGTAACTTTTTGTACTCACTATATTAAACGGGACTTTGAAATTATAGTTTTTGTGATAAATGGAATATCTAAGTTAGTTGTTGTTGAAGAAGTACTAACAGTACCATGAATGCGAGGAACCAAAACTCGATAGAATCGACTAGATATGGGCTGGCCTTTCATGGTAGAGTTGGAAAATCCGACACGTCGTAATTTTCACTTACGTTGCCAGGGATTCACATATACCGAACAGGGTCACTCTGAATATGCTAACAATTAATCTTTT